AACCGCATCCACGACCACACCAAAGAACAAAACAAAGGCAGCGAGCGCCAAACACGTGAAACAGCAGCTACAACGACTTCGGCAACAACGACAGCAACAACGTAGGCGCTACCACTAACAACAACACTGACGCCAACGCTACCACTAACAACAACAGCTGCAGCAACAACAACAAACAACCAACAACAGACAACAAACAACCAACAGAGACCAACCAACAACCAACAACCGACAGCAACAGCAAAAGCAACAGCAACAGCAACAGCAATAACAACAAACAACAAACAACAAACAACAAACAACAAACACCACAACAACAACAATAACAACAACAGCAACAACAGCAACAGCAACAACAATAACAACAAACACCAAACAACAAACAACAAACAACAAACAAAACAAACACAACAACAACAACAACAACAACAACAACAACAACAACAACAACAACAACAACAACAACAACAACAACAACAACAACAACAACAACAACAACGACAACGACAACAACAACAACAACAACAACAGCAACAACAACAACAACAACAACAACAACAACAACAGCAACAACAACAACAACAACAACAACAACAACAACAACAACAACAACAACAGCAACAACAGCAACAACAGCAACAGCAACATCAGCAACAGCAACAGCAACAGCAACAGCAACAGCAGCAACGGCAACGGCAACAGCAACAGCAGCAACAGCAGCAGCAGCAGCAACAGCAGCAACAGCAACAGCAACAGCAACAGCAACAGCAACAACAGCAACAGCAGCAGCAACAACAACAACAACAACAACAACAACAACAACAACAACAACAACAACAACAGCGCCAACAACAGCAGCAACCGCAACCGCAACCATGACCACAACAAAGAACAAACAGCAAAGACCAACAGCGACCAACCGCAACCAACAGCAACCAACAACCAACAACAACAAACAACTAACAACCAACAACCAAACAGGCAGGGTAGACTGGGGGTTGGCCCGGGTCCAGGCCGGGGGGGTGGGGAGGGGGGGATGGTGCATTCGAACTGCATTGACTTCGTGCCTGGACATGCAGCAGAAAGCATGCTCTTCGTTGATGCTTCTTCTCAGAACATCATGTTTCCCTGCAACAATATTGCCAGCCTTGTAACTTTCTCAAGGACAGGACCAGACGTCAGCCTGGTTCGCAGCACGTTTGCTGTTGCTCTGTCCATTGGGCTGTTTTTTGTCACAAACTAGCAAAACTTACCTCATTCGCATCAGGCGCGCAGTCAGTCCAAGCCAGAACAAATTCACCTATTTGCGCGCCAGACAGTGCTTATGTTATGGAGGAGAGAGGCTTTCTTTGCTTTCGCTTTCCTGCGCGTACCATGTTCTTGAGGCAGACTGCCCGCAGCCGGGCCGCTGCGGTTATGCGGGCTCTCGAAGCCATTGAACGGACTTGTTGGCACTTGGACTCTGTCCCGCAGTTCAGGCGAAGCCAGCACTTGTATGCCTCTGCGGGGTGGTAGGCTCTGCTGCCAACGAAGCTGCCTTCGCAACCCCTGACTGTGAAGACCGCCCGCAGTTGAGCAGCAGCCAGGACTACTTGCTGTGCTGGATAGAGCTCGAGTGTTTGAAGATTTGCAGGCATGTGCTCCGCCGCAGTCAGCTTGGCCGCCCACGAAGTGGGGGCGCTGCGCTTGCTGTGAGTACGCGCGCGCACCACTTTTATAAAGACAGGCCAATTAGGCTTTTGCGCCACCAGCGCTGAAAGTTCACAGACGGCCGCAGGAACTGCTTCGAGACATGTGGCTTAAGGTGCCACTGCGTTTAAGGCAGTTGCACGCACAGCCCGATGCTTCTTTGAAGCGCAATGCCAAGAAGGACTATTTCAGTGAAACACGGCTCCAAGCGATTTGCAGACTAACAAGGCAGCCCCTAGAGCCGAGACCCTGTTTGGGTGAAGAGAGGGAGACTTGTTTTGGGGCACAGACGAGAGTTCCGTGCCATGTCTTCTCAAGATGGCGGTGGCGGGAAGGCCATGAAGCTGTCCTTGAAAGATGCCAGAGGCAGATATCCGAGTGGTCGCCTGAAGCCAGTCAGCAGAACTGTGGTAAGACGCAGGGGGTGAACAAGGAGTTCAAGAAGCCTGGAATCTCACACGCGGCTACCAAGACGAAAAACCGATGTCTACAAGACCCCAAACAACTGTCTTTTGGAGAAGTGCTCAAGATGAGCGACAAGGCACGCTTTGCGTGCCTAGCGAAAAGATGCATGTTTGGCCAGGAAAGTGCTGCCCCACGAAACAGGGAGGCAGCTCTATGACACTGCGACGCACCAGCAGCCAGTGCTTTGCAGGATGTCAGAGCTGGTTGTCTGGGCAGCCCTGTTGTCTGCTTGCTCTTGGCTGGTATTTTTCGTCAAGCACAAACAGTCACGCTTGCTTTTGTGAAGGAAACGGTAGCCATGCTAAGAAATCCGGTCTCAGCGCTAGACTTATACACGACGTGCTTTGCACCCCTGAATTTTTCTGTATTTTTGAGGGTGGCGTGTTGCTGCGCTGTCCAAACACCTCACGACCACTGGACGCTGTGTATGGCCAATGTCGTGCGGCGACGGCGTTTGCAACTTCAGGTGTTCTCGAAGTAGATCGAGCGCGCTGCTAACAGATGTAAACACGTCCAGCGGTCCTGCGCAGAAGTCAGCCAAGATGTTTGTAGCCAAGAGGCCAGCCCAGAAATGGCCAGCAGCAGCAGCTCAGGTGCATGGAGGTCGCTTTTTGATCGCTGCATCTTGAGCAGACAAGGCCGCTGCCTTGTTTCCCTGAGTCCACCGCACAACTACGCGGGGCAAAGACTTGCGTTCAGTCTAACACGCATGTGATCGCGAGCGTCTCATCGACTGGACTACGCACCTTGCGGCAACTGCGAGACACTCGCTATCGGAGTACACACCAGTTCAGTGCCTGCCGACCCGCCACATCCCCAGCAAAGCCATTTTAGCTTTCAGTTCTAGCAGTCACATCACGCACACGACCGTAGACTTTCTGCAGTGTGGGTGCACCAGCACCCTGAAAGCATTTGCTCGCTATAGGGCTTTCGCCGAAGACAACATGGACCCAATGAAGCGCTACTTTGATTTGTCCTGGCCTGTCGCAGCTCCCGCAGAGCAAGCACCCAAAGCCTGAAAAGAAGAAAATTGCGCGCGCGAAGCGCTGCGACTGCCAGCGCAGAGCACTCGTGTGTATACACACCAGCACGCGGGCTTGAAACCGCTTTTAAGATATAGTTAGCCACGAACCCCTAAAACACTGCTATTTGTGGTACTTTGGCGCGCTCGCGCTTCAAGTGCTCTGCGCCTGCGCCTCAGTCCGGGCTAGCCCCCCCGTTCACCCAACAACCAACAACCAACAACCAACAACCAACAGCCAACAATAGCGACAACAGCAGCAGCAGCAACAACAAGAACACCACCCACACAACCACAACAACCAGTAGAAAGAACAAGCGCAACAACAACAACAACAACAACAACAACAACAACAACAACAACAACAACAACAAGAACAAGCCCCCACGACCCCGCCCGAGTGCAAAGCTTTCATAGCCGGCCAGCGTGCGCCTGAATAAATTATGAGATTTGCGCGCTACGCCTAGACACCCACTCATACACTTGCATCCAAAAACAAAGCCGGGTGAGGTTACCACTTGGGAGGTGCGGCGCGCGCACCACTTTGCAGGGCGTGCGCGCAGACCTTACCATTTGGCGGGCGTGCGCGCAGTGCTGAGCAAGTACGCGTGAGTGGGCGCACTTGACACTTGGCAGGCACACGTGCAGCGCTCAGACAGCGGGCGCCCGCGCGCAGCGCCAAGCGGGCGCATGTGAGCCGGCGCGCCCACCACTTGGCAGGCGTGCACGCCGCTCCGACCGGCGCACATGAGCGGGTGCGCTTACCACTTGGCAGGCACGGGCAGTGCTGAGCGGGCGCGCGTGAGCGACTGTACTTTCCACTTGGTGTGGGCGCAGTGCTGAGCGGGCGCGCTTGACGGGAGAGACAATGGACTTGTTCGCAGGAGCCAAGAAGATTTGTGACACCAAAAAGAAGAGCAGCAACAACAAAATGAACAACAACAAGGCCCCGGCGGCGTTCCTCCTGTCGTCGTCGTCGTCCTGTCGTTGTTGTTGGCTTGTTGCTGCGGCGCTCGGGGCGAAAAACCTCAGCTCCGCGCGCTTGCCAGCCGTGGGAAGCACGCGCGTCCGCTCAGCGCGCCAGCCGCATGGTGACGCTCGCCCGGCGATGCACGAGCGCTCCCACGTGGCACTCGCCGCTCAAGTGTGTTTGCTCAGCGCACGTCCAGCGCCTTTGCTCAAAGAAGCAAGACGATGTTTTTGGGGGGCGCCCCCCCCCCTCATCGTTGGTGAAAGCTTTGCGCAAGTCCTTTTCCAGTCTTGTTCCAGCTTTCCGCCAGAAAGCAACTTCGCAGGCACGAGTGTGAGGCGCGGGCCTCTCCACTCAAACTCGCGCAGCCTCAGCCGTAGCGGAGTTTTGTCACACTTGCGCGCAGCAACCATGTTGTTGCGCAACAACAACCGCCGCTGCCGCAACGACAACAGAAACACGTCGTCGACGACGACGACAGCAACAACCACAACAACATCATGCGCCACACACCACCGCCACCGCCACCGCCACCGCCACTAACAACGCCACCGCCACCACAACCACCAACAACACCAACAACACCACCGCCACCACCACCAAAAGCCACAGCAGCAGCGACAGCAACAGCAACAACAACACAACTACGACTACTATGATTATAATCCTGGATTAATATTATTGTAGTTATAAAAACCGTTCTCATTCACTAATTAATTAACTAAGTAATTCATTAATTAATTAACTAGTTAGCCAGCCAGCCAGCCAAGTAACCAACCAACCGCGACGACCACAAAAATTACGACAACCAACGCAAACAAAAGCTTGCCCTTGCAGGCACGCACAGCAGCAGTCCTCGCAATCGGAACCTTGGCGAAGCCATGCGGACACAGCGCAAACATGGCGACTCTACGCAATCCCCTTAGCCCATGAAGGAAAACTGGTGCACTGTGCTCGAACCTACGATCTATCTTCTGGGCGCGTGTGGCATGAGAGCCCCCTACGCGCAGCGAGATGCGTTTCGTAGAAAGCCACATTGACAGCCAGGCGTCCGTGACGGTGACTCGCCGTGCTGCGTTGCGCGCGACTGGGACCCCCTCCCCAGTTTTGAAAGCATCTTTCTGCGTGAACCTTTGCAGGCCGAATCTTGGGCCCAGAATCGCTCACTTTTCGCAGTACGGGATCAAAATTCAAGCCCGTTGGGGAGTTTTAAGCAAGTGCGCCGAAATCCACAAGCATTGCTTGGTTGATTTGTTCATTGTTGCTTCACCTTCCTTTTGCGCATTTCGGCATCGAAACTACGGAAATTCTGAACATAAAGCCGCGAACATGCTCCCATAGCGGAACTTGCGCTGTTTCTGTCCTCTCCCCCTTCATTCCCCCAACGGGTGCTCCTTTCTGAGGCCCAAAAAAAAAGCAGAAACATTTGCTCGTTTCGCCGATGTTGGGTGTCGGCAACACATTTCCATTCAGGGGAGCCTCTGAGAAGATTGCTTGAGCGTGCATCATTGTCTTTGAGCTTGCGGAGCTGGGCGCCGCTGCCTTTCTGCCGTACTTTTGCCACTCTTACAAGTATGTTCATGAAGAGCGCAAAAACACACATGTCACCCGCCACTGCTCCAACCCCCCATGGCGAAGTTTTAGGAAACCAAAGCCGCTTGGCGCTTCCATAACTTTAGGCTTGCCATTTAGAAAGGCCTCCGCAAGCTCGAGTCACATCTTGTCTCAGAACAACGCATCACACATCAGGCAATAGGGGGCCCTAACATCTTTCTGACAATACTTCACGTGTTTCCCTTTAATGCAAAACTGAGAGCAAATCCCAGTTCTTTCCTGCGCTTCCTGCGCAAACAACGGCGCAGGAAATTTCTTTGGCCACACCTGGAGTTTCCCCGGGTTTCCATTAAACTGGCGCTAGATCAGTGGAATTGAATGTAGGACAATAGGCCTACGACGGCCACAGAAAACTTCAGACTATTCGGGCAGCCCAATTTGCGCAGGCCAGAATCAATCTGAAAATGTGGAATCTTGTTTTGGGTCATGTCAAAACGGTTCACTGGGTTCAAGCCAAACGGTTCCCAACGCCTCCCTCAAATAGCAAGATCACTGATGTTTGGATCAGACCCCTCCCGTGGCGCCCACCTTGCACGCCAAGGTGCAAAGGAGCTGGTTGATTCAGACTTTGCAGAGGAGTCCACCTCGCTCTCAGAGGAGCCCACTGTCAGCGTCCGACGGTTTTCGGACCTGACAGGTGGCTGAAAACACAGGGGAGGCGCTGCCTTTAAGCTATCCGTAAAGCTATCCGTAAAACCCGTGTAATTTGTCTGGGTCTCAGCACACACGTGGCCGTCATCATCAATCCTTTACAAAAGTGAAAGCAATCTTGAGTGCGGCGATTGGCATGGGCGGTATCGCCATGTCCTGCCTCGAAGTGCTGTCAATGACCAAGTGAACATCATAGAGGCCCTCATTGCTTGAAACACTCAGCATCCTCAGCGGCAGGCGCGGGCTCCATTGTTTGAAGGCTGTGGGGGCAAGTTGTGAATACCATCTAACATGACTAAGCAAACTGTTTTAAGCAATTCTTCCACACACAAGAATTCGGAAATACCTTCCAATGCAGGAATCCAGAGTTCAATCATGGGCTTAACCCTGACTCCAATGGCCAATGGCACAAAGGACAAATGCTCAGTTGCCGGCTGCCACGGAACACTCGTCTCGACGCCCTTGTTGCTGGGCAACACTTTGGCCTGCAGCACGCAAGCGGAGAGCACAGCTTGCGCTCGGATGCAAGGAGCGCATACGAATCCACTTGCCCAGTAGAATCAAAGGACGGACACGAGTGTGTTGCAACGCAACGCAGGCCTCATAACGATGACGATTTCAGGCCAAATGTTATGGTTAGGAACGCTCACAGCAACGCTCGTCCCTTTCTGAAGTAGCTGCCCGTCCCGACAACTCGCGGAGCGCGGGCCTCTGCGGAGTAGGTCATGTTACTCCACTGATGCGTGAAGGCCACGCTATAAGCCTAGCACAAATCACGGGATGCTCAAGGGGCAGATGACGCGCAGCTTTCTGGCTTGTTCTCTTTCTTCAGCCCTGGCAGGCCAGGCTCCTGCCAGGGTCAGTTGCGACTGTGCCTTTCCAATTGCCTGGGACCTTGGGACCGTGTACCCATGTGGAGGCTACGCGGCCTTACCCCTCTTCAAAGAACTTCAACCGATCACGCTAACGTCGAGGCGATGCGGAACTTCGCTTTAGCCAGGCAGAGCATGTGCGACAAATTTAACAGCGCAAGCCCTCTTCAAGTTACATTTGATGGGAGCTTGGCGCAACGGGTCCAACCTTGCTTTCTTCAACTGCAAAGCTTTCGGGCCATGCAAAGGGCTACGTGGCCCATTGTTGAGGGGAGTTGCTCCGCGAGTGGCTTCGCGCTGCGCAGCGCACGGCCCTGCAAGCGCGGCTCAGGTGAGGTTGCGTGAAACCCTTCGTTGTTCTTTACGGCCCCGTGTGGGCCACACACTACGCGTGTTACACATGTTACGCTGAAAGCGCCCAGCGCCGCGCTTTTCTACGCGCCGCTCGCCTTACTGGCTGGTTTTCAAACGAGTCCCCTTTGGCGATAGCGACCGCCTCTTCTGATTGCAAAGGCGCTTTCTCAGCACTGTCCGCGAGCTGTGCTGGCCTCCACCATGACGCTCTCGCGTCCACTGCGCATGCGCTTGACGAAGTTGTTGGCACCCTCTTCCGTCAAGGCCTCGAACAGCGCCGCGTCGATTATAATCTTCCGCATCGATCAGAATCTTCCGACGGGAGGAGCCCGCTGTTCAGCACGCGCACGATGCATCGATCGCCAAGCAGCGCTTCCACAAGCTGGCGTCAAGCTTGCAGGACTGTGTCTTAAACTGACTCTGCGCAGCTCGCGCGCGGCCCAAACAACTCTCTGCAAGTCACAAAACTCAAAGGCTGTCGCCACCGTGCTCAATTCCGTCCCGCGCTCGCGCCTCTCGTGTCTGCTCCTTCACCACACGCCAGGCTCCCTTCTGGAGAAGGCTCCGCTTCTGCTTTCTTTAGCGCTTCACGGTAAACTGCCCGCTGGTCATCTCATCTCTTGTCGCCAGCCGGGTGTTCTCGAGGGGTAGGCCTTGAGCTTGGCCCACACTGGAGGCAGCTCTCTCGTTCTTTCAAGAAAACCACAACTGCGGGGCCACGCAAGAGGTATCGCCCCTGCCCTCAAGCCCTCCGCCAAAACTTCGGAGCGGCGTGCGCAAAACTTTGCGTACGTCCAGCCCTCCAGCTCCAGCAGCCCCATGGATCCTTTCGCCTCGTCGAAGAGCCTCGTCCTTCTCCGCGTCCTCGTTGGCCTTGCAGTTGCGGTGATCGGGCTGGCAACGGTGCGCCCCAAGTTACTTGCTCGGTTCACAGTTCTCGGTTTTGTCACTTGCTATCGCTTTGCAGAGCTTCCTGCTTGCTGCCATCTCACTGCCGCGGGAATCTCAGCACAAGTGCAGAACACAAAGTACACCTTGGCAGCTCCAGCTCTGTGGTTGCCAAGAACCCCAAGGGGGTCCAATTGCTAACAGGCCTGATCGTGACTTTATGGTTTTGACTTCGTTGAAGGTGGCACACGTGTCCATCTTGCAACGCGCGCTTCATCCAGTGAGCCCGGAAGACACGCAGCCAGCTGCCCCTCATCCTCTGTCCCGTCTGATGCCAACGCAGGCCAGCCAGCGAATTTTGAAAACTCAAGGAGCAAAGCCTGCTGCCAAAAAGCTGAAGACAGCGCCGCCTGAGCCAACAAAAGCTCCGATACCTTTCTCCAAATCAGAAAGCTTGCCTCGTTAGACCAATGAAATCTTGCGACAGCAAGTTTCTTCTGAGTCAACTTTTTCACGCTTACTAGGCGCCGCGTCCCGGAATCCGTATCACCCTGAACCGAATGTCTTTTCGACTTTTGGGCTGCAAAATTGCTTTTTTGGACTTGGGCCCAACGTTGCAAGATGTCCGCCCAGCTCGCCTCCAAGATGATGGGTGGGGAAGACGCAGTCAAATCTGTTGCCATGGCTGGTGAAGCTGACTCCCGGATCACGACTTGAGCAACACAAACAGAACAGGAACAGGGCGATGAGCAAACGAGAAGCGATCCCGGTCCAAGCGTTCGCCGCACAAGCAGGGCAGCTTTCGTAACGCGTACGCCGCTCTAGCCGCTTCCCACAAGCAGCAACAGTTTTGACACGGCAGCCTGGAATCACGTACGCGTTAGCAGCAACACGTCACACAACAGCCCTTCAGCTCTGGCTCATGAGGACGCTGAGCCCACACGCAGTTTTTCTGGTAGTGCGCGCCTCGGCGCCTCGCTACTTTCGCCATTTTGACGCGTCTCCACAAATTGCTTGGACTCCTTGCTGACCACTGCTTTGCTGGCTGCCGGGGGTTCTGATCGCTTCGGAATTTGCGCAGACTTTGCTCGCCACATCGCGGGCATCTTTGGCTTTGGCGCATTCCTTGGGCCAGGCACGCAGAGCTGCCGCGGTTGTTCCGTCATCTCGCTTGGTTGAACAGACGCAGCTGCAGCTCTTCCTGGGATGCGACGTCGGTGGTTTCGCAAGTTTGGTTGGGAGATTTGTTTTGTAAGGTGTTGAGCTCTCCGGACATGTCCCGCCTGCATGCCCCAGCCAACCTGCTGACTCCGTGCGCTCGTGGCAACCAGTTGTTGCCCGATTCCATGTCAGCTTTCTTGTGGCTTCCATTTCAAGCAAAAGCCTTGAGCCAGCTCTTCGTTTAGAGCGGTGTCGCTCAGTAGGGCTTCATGAGCGCCATCAAGTTTACGGCTACGACGTTGTCAGCGCGAGCGGGGAACCACGCACGTGCACCGAGCCGGCATGCCGGCTCCCATGACAGCAGGCCTACAGCTCTGGCTGCTTTCGCTCACTCCTAAATAACTGATTCTTGCAATTCTTTAGCTCATTAAATGCCCTTAGCTGGAGAAACTTCAGCTAGCTTTTGCTAGCTCTCGTGAAAAGTGACGCTAGACACCCATCGCGCCACACATTGGAGCACTTTGCGTGCCTGTTTTCTTCGTTTTTCTCTTGTATTCTGTTTTGTTTTGCGGGCTCTTGGTTTTTGAGGCCTTGTGGGTCGCTTGCGAGCGGCTTTGCTGGTGCTAGACACCCGTCGAGCACAGTTTTCGGGCTGCAAATTGGAATACTTTTCGTTTTCCGAGGCCTTGCGGCTTGCTTACGACCGGCTTTGCTGATGATGCCGGTGATGTTGCAGCCATATCCAATTTTTTGCACGGTCCAAAAGTGACGTTAAACACAGTTTGGAGCACTTTGCGTCCAAACCTGCTTGGGCTTGGGCCCTTTGAGGCGTGCCTGTTTCCACTTTCCCGGGCTCGAATCTCTTTAGTTCACCCCCCCTCCTCCCTCCTACCAGGCGGCGGAATTGGCTTGTGTTCCTTCGTTTTGACCTTGTCCAAAAACCAAAGTAGATTGACAATTTCCAGTGTAAGTCAAAATAAATTCTTCTTTCACACGCTTGGGCCATCACCGGGGCGGCCTCCGTGGGTTCGCTGGACTGCGAGAGCCTGGGCTGCACCTTTGGCCACAAGCGGCGGAGTGTCGACGGGCAGCGTGGTGTGCGGCGACGTGACGAGCTCGGGCACGGTCTCCGCCCCGCAACTCTTCGCGTCCAACACGCTCACCGTGACCAACACCTCCGACTTCTCGGACGACCTCACTCTGACGAAGAACTGGGCCGGCTGGAGCAAGGTGCAGATTTCCAACAACAGCGCGGCCTCCGACAGCGGCCCGGAGCTGCCTGCTGGGCAACCAGAGCGCGCGGGTCTTCCTGGAGCGGGACGGCGGGGCGCACCAGCGCGAGCTCATCATGATCAACGACGAGAAGAGCCTCTCGACGCAGCTGTCCCTCACCACGAACCAGAGGAACCCCGGCTGCCTGGTGATAGCCGGCAACACGGGCAACGTGGTCTGCAACACCAGCTTCACCAACTTGTCGGACAGCAGGGTGAAGACGGAGATGGCCGAGGCCGACCATGCAATGCAGTGCAGAAATCTTCACTGCTGCTCGTTTCCTTTCTGTCGAAACGTGTGGGTTGGAGAACAAATAAGGCATCCCGGCTGCACATCCGAAACAATTTTTGTTGTCTTCCCCAGTCTTCTCAGGAAATCACCTCGCAGGAATCCGTGCGCAAGCAACATACCCCTCTCACACAACAGCTGCTAGTTTTCGTCGCCGCCCCCTCCTAAATAATTGGTTCTTGCAATCTTTTTAGCTCAGATGATTGACAAAATCAACCTTTCGGCATTTCAGCCCCTTACCTTGCTGACACAAGCAGAAACTTCAGCTAGCTTAAGCTAGCTCTCGTTAAATGCGATACCCGTTCTTGCGTTGGCTTTTGAGTCGGCCCATAGCCGTTGCGGGGCCTACAATAGTGTCACACGTCGGGCAGCGATGTTGGTACTGTTGCGACGCCTGCCCGTCGCGGAGCCGAAGCTTTCAGGTCCCTGCAGCTCTGATTAGGCCATCAGTGATCGTTGATGTCACTGTCGCTGCGCAGTAGGGGCAGCTGTACCTACTCTTCGCTTCCGACACTGCCTCGCGCGGAGCAGTGTGTCTTTTACTTTTCTTCGGCTCGCTTGCGCGCGCAGTAAAATCGGATCCTTGCCGGACGTTCGCCATGTCACGCCAGATGTCTGCCAAGATCCTTCTTCTTTGCTTCTCCCGACAGCGCGTGGCGTGCCCGGCCTTTGCGAGCAGCGCAAGGCAAAGGTCACACGTCTGTTTACCTTTCTGGCAGCCGCTCGAATTTGCATGGGGCGTGAAAATTCAGGCTTTAAGCGCTGTCCGCTTGGCGTTGAGAGCACGCCCAGCGCCCCCTCTGAAGAAAATGCAGTCTCAGGTGTCTCTGGTTTTGCGAGCGGTTGGCATCAGAGTTGGGAGAAACTCTCGAAATAGTGCTGCGCCGGAATGTTGAAATCGTGTTTGCGCTTGTCTTAACACATTGTTTTGGATTTACTGAGTGAGATTCCATACTCGTTCAAACATGTCACACCTTTGAATATGCCTGAAGTTCTAAAAAACAGTGTCTTTCAAAACTCTCGCAAACATCCGCGGAAGTTTAGCCTTGTGTTGGGTTTGTTTGACCTTGTGTGTTAATAGCGCATTTGTTTTTGCACGGAGAATTTTGGCCAAAGCTGCGGAGCCTCGGTGATTTTTCGCGTGGTTGGCATCAGAGTTGGAAGAAACCCTTAGAAGTTGTAATGCGCCGAGATGTTGGTTTGCCATGTTTATACAATTGGTTGTTAACAGGCTTGCTAGGTCATATCCATACCTGGTCCAAAAAACAATTGCGACTGTTAAGCCTTGTGTGTGAATGTTTGGTTCTTTTTTTTGCACAGACGATTTTGGCCTAAGCTGGAGTGCGCAGCGAAAGGCTTAGGCCCAAAACTTTGTTTTTGGAGCCTGGGTGATTTTCCGAGTGGTTGGCAGCAGAGTTGGAAGAAACTGTTGAAATTGTGACGCGCCGAAATGCTGAAAACGTGTTTTTGCGGTATTGAAATGGAGTTTGTTAAAATTGCTGGGTAGAATCCACACTTGTTCAACCATGTCAAAGCAATGAATGAGCCTGTGTTTCAAAAACATCGAGAAACAATCGGAAGAGTTCATTTAGCGTTGGATTTTCATATTTTTCGTGTGTGAAAACCAGGCCCAAAGTTGGTGGAAAAAACCGGACGCGGGGAACCCCACCCGCGAAAAAAGTTGATGTTTAATTTTTGTTCCCTAGCTGCGGGCTTCCTTGCAGCCGGCCTTTCTTCGACCAGCTGCGAGCTGGTTTTACCGGTCTCAGTGGCCGGATTTTTCCCGCCAGCTGTGGGCTAGTTTTACCAGTCTTTGTAGTCGGTTTTTCCACTAGCTGCGGACTGGTTTTACCAGTTCCTGTGGCCGGATTTTTCTCCACCGCGCTGCGGGCTGGTTTGCCGGTCCACCAGCTTTCGGGAACGCTGTAAATGCGCAACAACCCGGCTTCGTTGCCACATTGTCGTAAGCCCCTGTGTTTCGCGCATCGCCTGCGTCCCTTGCGTGGCCCGTGTTTGGGGCCAGCCTTCCCCCCCAAGGCCCGCGCGTGCTGCACACACGCACTTCCGCAACGCGCGGGCCGCACACATGCAACCAACCAACAAACCAACCATCCGTCCAGTCTTCCAGCCATCCATCCATCCCTCCGTCCGTCATCCATCCATCCATCCATCCATCCATCCATCAATCCAGCCATCATCCATCCACCATCCACCTGTCCACCCACCCGTCCACATCCTGGACGGAGTTTACCTGGCACGCGAGGCTGGTGGGCGGAGCGTGAATATTATTACATCTTTCGCCATCTTGCTTTGCACGCTTTTCCGCAAAACTATCTCGCGTTGATCTCGTTTATTTGGGGCGCATCTCGCCTCACAGCAGCATTGAGACACTTTTGTGCGCTACACCGACCGTTGCCAATCAATGCCCAACTGCTGTTGGATGATCGGTCGGCCGCTCAATGTTTAACATCAAACGCCTCCGCGCCGCATTGGCACATGGCGCGCGCAACAAGCCACATGGCGGCTTGCCCAACCGGCATTTTTGGACCGAACTAACGGCCAACCTCCGTGTGGCTCTGAGCTCCCAGCGTGCCCAGCCTGCGCAGCTTGTGTGGCGATTTTGCTTGCTGCGCCAGCACGCGTGGATATGGGGAAGGAGTGAGAGCTCCTATCAGTCCTATGGACAAGCCACATGTGACATCCAAACTTTTGCGGGGGCCCGCGATTTCTCTGATTGCTCAAAGACATGAGCAAAGTTGTTTGGTTCTCGGGGCTACGCCTACTGCCTGCGCAAAACCTACCCGACACCTATGCCACCACACTCAGAACCTACTACGCAGGGCAAACTGAGCATGTGTGTGTGTGCGCCTTGGATACGCCTTGCTTACACCTTGGCTGCGCGCGCAGGCAAACAAGACTACCACTTCCAAAACTGGACACGCTGCATAGACTGGGCACAGGGCCCACACAGCTTCCGAGCCTCGCCTATGCAAAACCTACTAACTACGGCGACGCTCCACCATTGTCTTGTCAAGAGAGCCTGTAACTGGCAATTGCCTCCAACACTAAATACACACCCAGCGCGGTCGTTGCAGGCCCACACAAGTCCCTGCGATGAACCTGCGCCACCAACGCCTTCCATAGTCCTTGGGGCAAACTCCTCAGATGTCGTTTGGGCTACGCCAAACATATCGCTGTTGTTTCTGGCACGATGAGATTGGTTCGCTTAAGCGTACCAACTGCTGTTGCTTCTGCTACCAAACGCAAAATAGGCACCGACCTCGCTTGCTTCAATCGGCAATCAGGCATCACTCCGAATTCAAGCGTGTCTGTAAGCACGTTCAATCGCCGACCCAGCCTCCAGAGCGCTAGTGTCAAGACGGAGAACCTGAGGGACCTGAAGGCGCCGGCACGACCGAGCCACCAGAATATGAAACTCTGACCCATTTTTTGTGCCCTTTTTTGTCGACTATCCGTCTGCCTCCCTCTGACGACGTGCAACCCTTGCACTTTCCAGCCGCCTTGTCAACCTTGACGGGGGGTACTAATTAACCAGAGGCAGTCGTTACTCGAGCCGGCTACACTGCCAAAACAAGTGCGAAGCGCAAGCGCTTGGCCAGTCCAGACAAAGCTGGCCAAGAGAGAAACATCCAGCAGGGCGATTCTGCTTGCCCGAAACAACTGCGACACCATGCCGGGCCACAGAGAGCAAACTGCAGCCGTTGTTTTTCTCTGTGGCCCCCGAGCGCAGCTCACGCGCATAGGCTCCACGCCTTTCAATCGGACCTGGCACATGGGAAAGCAGGCCTTCAGGCCTGCTGAACCTGACTAGTGCGTCTAAGCGCAGTCCACTTCACACGCAGCAGGATTTTTTCGCCAAGGCCGAGTAGGTGGATTAAACATTCAAAACGGAAGGCAGGCAATGCAGCAAACACAGGCTCCGGATGGGTCAACTTTCTGCCGGCCTCCAGCGGAATAAGGATATCTCCATGGCGCGTCATGTCAATTTCAATCCATCAGACCCATTGGTTTCCTGCGCCCAAAACTTCTAGCAATCGTGTGCTACAAGCGCAGGGACTGGATCTTGATTCCGCCTTGCTGACGTCCGACCTGAAGAGGTGAGGTCGTCCCCTTGGAGTTGGGATCTAGAGAAGAGAAGATCATGCGAGGTGGGAGAGGCGGTCTCCTTGTTGATGTTGGCTCGGATGTTGTCATTGACCACGATCATGATCGTGGCGTCCTGACTCCTACGCAGAGTTCCTCCGCAGACAGTCACATAACTTGGCGGCTTCGGGCCTTGGTGAAGGGTTCGAGGGCCGCACCAAGGCCCCGCTCCGGAGCGCTCAATCCTGCGCTAGCGTAGTTCTCTGCGACGGGTGACCGCCAGAACGTGCAAATGGAACGGCTGGCCTGATGGCACGTAAGGATCAATGGTCCGGCGCAGCATGGTGCCCAGGCGTGCAGCAAGATCTTCACGGACATGTTGAATATACTGTGGGAGACTCTTGTTGGGGGGGACATCGGTGGCAGCCAATCCTCTTTGAGGATGGCGGGAAGCCATACTCCCAACCAAGCTAGGCCGGGGTTCCCGGCGTTGTGGAAGCAAACGTCTCTGCGAGGGGAATCTCAACGTTCCTTGCTCGAGAACCATTGCTGGGCGCTCTTGGCAACTGTCTTCCCCTATCCTGCGAAGGTCCGTGTGAGATTTGGGGCACCGCCCGTCTCTCTCCCAAAAAATCATTTGTGATCCCACGCCCGGCGGTTCTTCTCAGAGGTCCTGTTACACCCGCCAGGGAACTTGTTGAAGGCGCGATATTCCTTGCGAACTGGGTATGCGCTGGCGCCACCCTAGGCAGCGTTGGCACTTGCTGAATCAGTGTGCCTGAAAGTGGAGGGGGTTGCCCGTGCGCTTGGAGTTGCAGGCCAACCAGTTCCACCGCTTCCCACTCTGGCGGATCGTGGCGGATTGCGGTTGGGTCAGGGCCCTTTTCTCCACCATCCTGAACGCGTGGCTGCGTTACCAATTCTCCTGTGAGTCCAGATATCTCCGTGGACCCGGAAACTCCAACCGTGAAGGGCAGGTTGGGCATGAAGACGCTTGAACGCGCCTTGCTTTTTTGCCGGGAGAGGACATTGCCTTTCATTGCCTGCAAGTTGTCACAGGCGTGAACTTGTTGCCCAGAATGGGCAGCAGATAGTCCAGCTCTTCCGCCTTGTCGGTGGTCTTGCGCCGGTGTCTGCAGCCGGACAGCAGAGGCGTCCACCACTCTGCTCTCGTGAGCAAAAGCTTCGGCTCGAGTAGCGGCGCCTGGGAGACCTTGGTCTGGCACACTGCAAGGAGCGGCCCTTCTTACTCTCGGAGGTGACCAGAAGGGTTCGCACTCGTAGGCCCGAGCCATCTCTAATTGGGGCATCACACCAAAGTGGTCCGCCACCGCGCGTTGCGATCTTTAGAACTGCAAGAGCCGGTAGTCCGGAGCTGGTTGTTCTTTGTCCAGGATCTTCAGCAGGGGGCTTGAGGAGGTTGGAGATAGGGGTCTGAGCAAAAAAAGGAGAAAACAAAGAAAAAAAAGGACACAAAACAGACACAGACTTCTTTCCACTCGTATCTCAGATTCAAAAAACAATGCCGTTGAGTGATTTAATCACCCGGCCCCTAAGCCTGAAAAAGACGAGGTAAGTAGTAGCACGCTGGAAAATTTGCACCGCGGCCCTTTAAATTTTTGGGTCCCAAAGAAACACTCACGAACATGGAGACACGCAACTTTCGACGGACTCAAAATAGAAAGAAAGACTCCTGATATGACACGGACTGTACCAAGGATCATGGTAGGAAATTCCGGCGAACCGGAGCGAACAGATATGGAAATGCCATCTGAAATGCATGAAACGCTTACTCATCATCATCTGTCATTAGGATGACATCGTTGCTCCAGCGCTGGTTGCTCCTCAGCTGAAGTATCCACGTCCCTTCTCTTTCTTGCGTTTCAACGCTGCCTCGGAGATGTTACTGCTCTTGCGCGTAACATCCAGGTTCACGAGGAGAGGGTGGTGCCTGAATCAGCGAAACCAAGCAATGGCAGCTCGTTGGTCAGGAGCTTGTATCTTTCGCCTGAGCTCGCCCTGTAATCAGGGAGCAGGTTCCCGAGTGGCTGATTCTCATCGGGTTTGAGATCGTCGGTTGTGTTCCGTTGTCGAAGATCTCGCGTTCGGCTTGTCTTGGCCCAACGGAAGACGTGGGTTTCCCGGCGTAGAATCCATGATGCTCCAGTCCAGCTTTAGAGCCATGATTGAGCGAAGATTCTAGTATGGATCTCTTTGAAGCCGCGCTCTCGGAGCTGATGCGAAGCTAGTCCAATGGATCTATCTGAGCCTCGTTGAAACATTTTACGATTCCTTCCATGGCTATGTGCAGGGTGGGTATCTCAGGGCGCGTGGTCAATTGGTTCCTGCTAAGCTTGTCGCGCGCTGGGTTGTCTGTGATGACATCAGCCATGTGATTCAATCCCCGACTTACGAACCGGACCATTTGCCAATGACGGCATTGTACGACTTCGTCGCAGTGTGTTCGTAAAAGTATACTGAAACCGCTAGGAACGGTAGTCCCCCTTTGTCTTGTCAGTTGAGACTGCTTTGGGTGTGTACTGTTCCGTGCCGCCATCCAGGTACAGGAATCTTCCCTTGCGCAAAATCTGTGCACTCTTGATTCCTTGGATCTTGCTAGGAAGCCCAGGTAGGATCATTGCCTGAGGTGCTGCTGATGACATCGCGGAAGATCCTGCCGACGGCTTGGCGACTATGAGTGCAGGAAGTGGTGCTGCAGTTCTGGTTCTGTTCTGGTTCTGTTCAGCGGAACCTTGGTATCTTCTGAGTCTTCCTTACCAAACTCCGAGGTCTGCTCCAGACATGGCAGCAGCAGCTTGGCCAGCATGTCACGGTTGGTAAGTTCAACCCAGCCGATGGTCTTGCATCAACCCTTTGTCAGTGCAATACTTGTATGTCCGGCTTGAAGGAAGATATGTTGGACAATGGGATTAAGAATCCCGTCGCGTTATTGAAGACAAAGTGCACGTCCAGGGTTATTTCGGAGCGTCCCCAGAACATGGAGTCGTCCAGGTCGCCCTTCTTCTTGTTTCCTGGATACACCGGTGGTCGTTCTAGGTTCCCGAGGTCCTTGTAGTAGAGGGAACCATTCTCTTTGTCCTTCACGATGGAGACAAGGCTGGCGAGCCGGAGATTTGTGAATTCGGTGCGGTGTAAACACTGGATATACCAGGGGGTTCTTCTTGTCAGGTCTGAATCCTGTCTCTGTCAGATGAGTTCCACTGCGGTATCATGAAGTCGGTTTGCCATCCCAGCCCAGTTGCAGTAGTTGAAATCTATACTGTTTACATAGTCAAACAGCTCGGTCCTTCGAGCATCGAAGAATGGTCTTCTTGTGGATCTGTCCAGCGTGGAGTTGTTCTGGTTCACGATGGCTCTGACTTGCTGAATCTTCGTCCTGGTACCTGGCTTCAAGAGCTTCTTTGTGTGTGTGGGAGAGGGTCCTTCGGCTTCATCCTTGTGAGGATGCGGCGCCTTGTTTGGAGCTCTCTGTGATGAACGGTGGATCTCTTTGCTAGATCTCTGGCGCATCTTCTCAATAATTTCGTTCGGTATATTGCGTCTGTCCGGAGAGTGGCGCAAGGTGTGTCTGCTGGGCTTCTCTGTCCTGAGTCGAAGATTTAGGAAGGTTCCTGTCTCAAATCCACCTTTCGGAGTCTCGAAATGGAGGTCCAAGAGGATCACCTTGTTAGGTGATTGCCACACAGCGCCGCAATATGAACGAATCTTCGGAATCCCCTGCAGGATGCTGCGCAGTCCGATTCTTCCATCCTTTTCTCTCCTGAGAGGCGCATGCCTATTCGGTTCTGGTGTGCGCGCGTGTGTCGCAGGACTGCGGGTACGGTTCTGGATATCTTCTCTTGGAGGAATAGTAACAATTGGGCAGTTACCCACATGGTTCCCTCGCATTACCCTCGCATTACGGTGTGTCATGGGAAAATCGACATGACCTTGTAGTTGGAAACCGTGGGAACTATCTACGTGCGCCATGTCCGAGATGAACCTGTCTTGGCACCGTTGGTGGACTTCACGTATCGATCATATCCCTTCAGGTCGTCGTGTCTCCGGCATGTTTCCGAATCTTGAAGAATTGCAAACCATGGGCACTGTGCTCCTCGACGTTGTAGTCCTGTTGGTTCTGTGGAAGATATTGAAACCTCGGTCGGAATTATTGTAAAACCAGGAGGTTGCAGTAATGAATGAATCTGCAAATGTTGCAAATGCATGTTCTCGTGGAAGCTGATTCGCCGGAAGTTCTTCTAGTTCTTCTTCTTGCGTGGGTAGTTATCTTCGGTAGCGATAACAAATTGGTGGGGTTCTTCATGCTGTCCCCGTCCCCGTCGGCGACTGACTTCTCGCCTTCTGACTTTACCTGCTCCATGGGAGGTCCAGGATCTGGAGGTCTGACAAACTGAGCCCGTAGGCTTCCGAAATTTCGCAACATAGCGGGAGGTTGTAACACAAAAGCTCCAGCTCAATTGAAAGTAAATGGCTGCGGGGGAAAACACAAATTTCTTGAGTCAACGATTCTGAAAAGGTCATGGTTCTTCATTGAAACCCTCGATGGAGATCCGCTTCGGCGAATGCCAGAAATGGTGTACCTTGTGTGATATGTTCTCTGCCGAGAACAAGGCAAACGGACCCGTATAAGTACTGTAGGCTAACCATTCAACCAGGAACGC